AGAGCTTTAGAATCTTCAAACTCAACAAAATACTCACCAGTAGTCCTGAACATATGCCAATAGGTTTAATTCCAATAGTTTCAATAGTATACTTAATAAACCATTGTTCTGTATGTTTGTTATTGCATTTAATCCATAAAATTGTTGAAAAGTCTTCAAAGAAATCGTTGTTCCCTTCAATTTCCCTTTCTTCCATTTATTTTTTTATTTTTTTTAGTTTTTTTTATGATTCTTTTTAATTTCTTTTTAAAATTATTCTTTGTTTATTTTTTTAATATAACTTTTTGTAATATAAACCATTTTTTATTCTAAAGAATAATACTAAACAACTGAGTTATTCTATATTATTTTTTTGTACTGAACTTTAACAACTTTCTTTCATCATTTTTATCATCCAAACCAAAAAACATAAAAAATAAATTCAAAATGTTTTAAGATATAATTAAACAAAAAGATACATCTCAAATAATTTCTTAACTTTTGAAATACTCACATAAATATTATAAAACAAGAAATGAACATCAAAAAGTTATCTCGTTTCCATTCTTTATTTGGTCAATTGACTTATTAAATCATAAAATACACAATAATTCAATAATAGATAAATCAGTTTTATAATTAAAGTAGATAAAAGTTTTTATCATATCTGTTTTTGAAATTAAATCTAAACTACTTGTAAATGATTATTTATAATTCAGATATTTCTAGAAATAATTACAGAGACTTTAGTTCAAAGATATATAATTTAAGTTTTAAATCAAAAGAAAAGTATTTAAAAAAATCATGTTAATTGTAATAACATTAATTATGAATATACATTTTTATAATGAATATTTGTTATAGTTATCAATACTATAAATATCTTGTTTTACTGATAATTTAAAAATACACAAATTTGATAAATTATTTAATACAAAAATTGAATGGTTTTGTTTTTAAATTAATTATTTTTAATAGAAATTACTTTATTAAACTATTAAAAAGAAAGAATACTTAGTAGTGTAAAAACCCAAGGACAATATACTTTATTAAAATTTCATATAAATTAGTAATGTGGGTATGATACTCTTGTTTATGCACTTCATTCATAGACTTTTTATATATTTTTATTTTACTTTTTATCTTTTTTCTTGTTGAGAATAAAAAATAGATTTTTAAATCAACCTCTTCTTTAATTTATGTTTGTATAGCTTTATAAATACCATATTATTCAATATAATTTCTTTGTGTGAAAATCAAAGAATTAAGAAAGAGTGATTTAAATATTAAAATGGTTATTATTTGACAACCTTTTTATTTATTGATCTTTTATTCTTTACATCATTTTCAATGATCTTTTTGATTAATAGTTTAAATAATAAAAAACTAACTAAAAAGAAACTATTATAATTATCTCATCAATCATTTAATTAATTTAATTTTATCAAACAATATTCGTCTAACTTTAAAATATCAAATGTTCATAAAATCTAAAGTCAATTCTAAACAAAATAATTATCTTCAAACTATGACAACCAAATGTTAAAATATATACATATAATATAAGAATTATTGTGTTAATAACAAGCAAATTGTTTTTCCTTTTTGTAGAGTTTATTAATGTATTGAATTTAGTTTTATTTAGAATAATTCATAATTCCAAATCAAAATAATATATTTCTAAATAGTATAATATAATAAAACAGATTAAATAATAAAATTATTAAAATTCTATTTTTATAATAACAAAAGAATTTTTCAATTACTTCTTTCTTAAAATTCCAAATCAAAATCCCATATCTATTTTTATAGTTTTAACGTAAAAGAATAGTTAAATTTTGGAAGTTATTTGAAAGAGTGTGACGAAGTTGAACAAAACTCGAATCTCAGGTAAGACATTTAATACAAAAAAATGAAACCATACATAACTCTAAAACCATTGCTAGGACATGAAGAGAAAAAGGAAAAAGAACGAGAAAGAAATAAAAAAAGACAAATACCAAAATTACAAGCTTCTCGACGTGCAAGAGAATATGAAACACAACAACAATCCATGTTATTGGCTTTACTGAATAAGTTTTGTACTGTACATATTACAAAACAATGTAAAAAGGCTGAAGTTACACATCAATTTTTTCGTATAAAATTGATTCAATTTTCAATCGAAGATGAAATCAACGTTGAAAGGTTTTTAAATACCAGAACTCAAGAAAGAAAACAATTTGAAATGAAGTGTGGATGTACAGAAAAAA